GAGCCAGGACTCGTAAAAACCATGTCCATTTTTTAATTGAATGACACTATCGATTTTTTATTTGAATGATACTATAAAGGATAGTATAGGCTTGCTACATAGGGATATCACAAACTATTTTATATTAATGGGATATGAAAATTGGGTGCAGTTTATAGAGAACCTAGGCTTTAAACAATCAAATTAGAGCCTATTTTCAAATAGTGTCAAGAAATATGGTTTCAATATCATAAATCTTTTCGATAGCCTTAAAATATATTTTCATTTTTATTTATAAAGTTTAAAGCTTTAAAAATAATATAGATTGAGAGATCTATGAAAACTTGAAAATCTTAAAATTTGACGATCTAAAAGTGTGTTACAAAATATACTATTTCCAAAACTTGAAATTTATTTTTTTATTCATGTCCATGTATCTTGATATCGAGATGAATTTGAGGATATTTGGGCATCAAAACAATATCTTCTAGTAAAATTTTTGAGGTAAGCTCGAATTTGATTGTTTAGAGCCTTGGCACTATATAAACTTTTCCCATGAAAATTTGACTTCATTAAAAATTGAATGATACTATAAATCATATTACAAAAGTGAAGAAATAAACTATTTTATATTAATAGAATGTGAAAACTTGACTCTATTAAAAATTGAATTATACTATATTAATGGGATATAAAATCTTGACTTCATTAAAAATTGAATTATACTAAAAAAATCATATTATAAAAGTGCAGGAAAAAAAATCATGTTTCACCAAAAATATAATTCGACGAAGTTTTTAAACATTGGCATTAAAGTAGATCAACTATCCACCGATAGAACAAATACTCACTTCTATTTGTTTTTTAGTACTGAAGGCGATCTTTCTTTTAAATCTGGATATATTTGTTTAGTTTGATGAATTTCGATATTATAATAGAAGATGAATCCAATTCCAATGCCATATCTGCCATAATATTAATATTATTAATATATATTTAATAGTTATTATTGATTAATTAAAA